TTCCATTCCACCACTCTGTCCTTAAAAAAAATTTTTTTAATGTTTATTTCTGAGAGAGAGGGACAGACAGAGTGCAAGCGGGGGAGGTGCAGAGAGAGAGAGAGGGAGGCACAGAATCTGAAGCAGGCTCCAGGCTCTGAGCTGTCAGCACAGAGCCCAATGCAGGGCTCAAACCCACAGACGGATAGATCCGTTGAGCAGAAGTCGGATGCTCAACCGACTGAGCCACCCAGGCACCAGAATGAACCCAATCACCTCTCTGTCTTTTGACTGGAGTATTTAGGTCATTTACATTTAAAGTAATTATTGATAGTAATGTATCTATTGCCATTTAAAAAATTTTGTTTTCTGATTGTTTTTGTACTTGTTTCTTCTCTTGCTCCCTTTGTGATTGATGAATATCTATAGTGTTTTATTTGCTTTTCTTTCTCTTTATTTTTTGTGTATCTATCATAGGTTTTGGGTTTATGGTAACCATGAGGTTATTGTTTACATCCTAAGTAAATGCCATTCCATGTTAATCTGATGGTCATTTAAGTTCAAACACATTCTTAAAGAGGAAAAAATACATTTTTCTGTTTCCCTCTTCTCTTTTTACTCCCTTCTCCACATTTAAAATATGTATTGTCATATTTTACATCTTTTTATTTCTTCTTTGACTTATGTCTAATTGTGGCCATTTCTTTTCCACTTAAAGAATTCCTTTTAACATTTTTCATAATGTTAATTATGAAATTTTATGATTTAATGGTGATAAACTACTTTATCTTTTTATAAATTACTTTATCTTTAGACTACTTTAATGATTTTATGACCTAATGGTGATAAACTAGTTTATCTTTTGTTTGTCTGGGAAATTTTATCTCTCCTTCAGATCAGAATGATAGCCTTGCCAGGTAGTCTTGATTGTAGGTTTTTTTGCTTTCAGCACTTGGAATGTACTATGCCACTCTCTTCTGGCCTGCACAGTTTCTGCTGAAAAGTCAGCTAATAGCTTTATAAGTTTTCCATTGTAGGTAACTTTCTTGCTGCGTTTGAGATTCTCTCTTTATCTTTAAACCGTGATGTTTTAATTATTATGTGCTATGTTGTGGACCTCCTTGGGTTCATCTTGTTTGGAACTCTCTGTGCTGCTTTGACTTGGGAATATCTATTTCCCTCATTAAAGTAGGAAAGTTTTCAGTTATTTCTCTTTTTAAAGTTTTTTTATTTTTAATTTTTTTTAATATTGTATTTATTTTTGGGAGACAGAGAAAGAGAGCAGCATGAGCAAGGAAGGAAAGAAAGAGAGGAGATACAGAATCTCAAGCAGGTTCCAACCTGTCAGCACAGAGCCTGACGTGGGGCTCAAACCCATAAACCATGAGATCATGATCTGAACCAAAGTCAGTTGCTTAACCGACTGAGCCACCCAGGCACCTCAGTTTGTTTGAGGGATGGGTGAGAGACAGAATCCCAAGTAGGCTCCACACTCTATGCTGAGCCTGATGTGGGGCATGGTCCCACCACTGTGAAATCATGACCTGAACTGAAATCAATATCAGACCCTTAACCAACTGAGCTACTCAGGCACTCCTTCAGCTTTTGTTTCTCTAAATAAGTTTTCTACACATTTCTGTCTCCTTCTCGGACCCATATAGTGCAAGTGTTTGTTCACTTGATGAGAGCTCTACCTAAGAGCTCTCTTAACCTCATTAAAAAAAATTTTTTTCTCCTTTGTTTAGCTTGTTTCCATTACTCTTCCATATTGCTGAAATGTTCCTCTGCATCTTCTAATCTGTTGATTCCCTTTAGTGTTTTCTTACTTCAGTTATTGTATTCTTCAGCTCTGCTTGGTTCTGTTTTTTTTTTTTTAAGTTTGTTTGTTTTTGAGCACGAGAGAACCAGTGGGACAGGCAGAGAGGGAGACAGGATCAGAAGTGGTCTCTGCTCATAGCAGAGAGCCTGATCCAATGCGGGGCTCAAACTCACACACTGCGAGATCATGACATGAGCTGAAGTTGGACACTTAACCGAATGAGCATCCCAGGTGCAGCCTCTGCTGGGTTCTTTTTAATATTTTTCTGTCTCACTGAGTCCTTCTATTTTTTTCTCCAGTCCAGTAATATCTTTGTAATCATTACTTCAAATTTTTTTATCAGACATATTGCTTATCTGTTCCATTTGGTCATTTTTCTGGTCCTTTTTCTGAGTTTTTTTTTTTTTTTAAAGCATTATTCCTCTGTCTCCCCATTTTGCTTGACTTTCTGTGCTTATTTCTGTGGATTAAGCAAAATAGCTACTTCCTTAAAGTTGAAGGCGTGGTCTCCTCTATGGTGTCCCCTATGTAGATAGTGTGTGCGTTGTGACTTCTGCTCGAGCTGTGGCTGTATACACTAGTTACTTTTATAAACCATGGCTTTTTACAGAAAGGATAAAAAATATAATAAAATTTAAAAAAGAGTAAAAACTAAAATAAAAATATGACCAAAAAGAAAAAAAATAAAAACAAGACCTGACAAATTTTAAAAAGTAAAAGAAATAAAAACCCTACAAAACCTTAGCTTGTTTTCTGTATCCCAGCACCACAGGGTAGCTAATGTGAGCTTGGGAATGCTGGGCTTACTGAGGTGGCTTACTCACCATGAGCCGGACACTGTTCTGGTCTGAACTTAAAAAAAAAATTTAATGTTTACCTACGTGAGAGAGAGAGAGAGAGACAGTGTGAGTGGGGGAGGGGCAGAGAGAGGGAGGCAGAATCCGAAGCAGGCTCCAGGCTCTGAGCTGCCAGCACAGAGCCCAATGCGGGGTTTAAACCCACAAACCATGAGATCATGACCTGAGCTGAAGTCTGACGCTCAACCGAGCCACCCAGGGGCCCATGTTCTGGTCTGAACTTTTACAGTGGAGGGGAAGAGAACCTTCCCAGAGGTCCTCAGCCCATTTAAACCTTTTTTTTCTTGTGTCCCATCATGACCTGGGCTGCTGTGAGCTTCAGGACACTAGGGTTCCTGAGGTCACAAGCTCCCTGTGATGACTAGACTCACCACTTATGATGTCAGGGCCTTCCAATATGGCGTCTGAACCTACCCCTTATGGGCAGCCAGGCCTTGCTCCAGTCTGGGCCCTTCAGGTGGAAGGGAGAGAGCTCCCATAGTTCCTCTGCCTTTTAAAAAATTTTGTTTACATTTACTTTTTGAGAGACAGAGGCAGAGCACAAGTGGGGGAGGGGCAGAGAGAGAATGAGACAGAATCCGAAGCAGGCTCCAGGCTCTGAGCTGTCAGCACAGAGCCAGACATAGAGCTTAAACTCAAACCGTGAGATCATGACCTGAGCCGAATGCTTAACTGACTGAGCCACCCAGCCTCCTCTGCCCCTTTAAACCGTGGTTCTTTTTCCATGTTCCAGCATGTGTCTAGGGCTGGTGTTGGCCTATGGACCCTGGGTTCGCTGATGTCACCAGCCCACTGAAACAACCAGACCTGCTTGCCATGGTGGCTGGACTCTTTCCAGTCCAGGCTTCTAAGGGAGGATGGGAATGTAAACCGTGTCATTCTCTGGTCCCTCTGACCTGGAACGCTTTCCTGCAGACTCTTGCTGCTTGGCAGAGTTCTGTGTTGTCTCTTTTATGTGCTAGTTGCTCTCTTAAACCTTTGTTTTTTTCTGTGCCCAAGGACAGAGAGGGACCTGTTCCTAATTTCTCAGTACTGTCCTTCCCTACTCCTGGTCACAGATTTGGGAGTGGGGATTCCCTTTGTGACACATCTCCACCTCTCTTGCTGGTTTCTTTGCCTTTGGTTGTTTAGTAGCTGTTCAGTCAGCCCTCGATCGTTCTTCAGGAGGAATTGTTCCATTAATGATGTAATTTGGTGTGTTCTGTGGGGGGAGGGGAGTTCAGAGTCTTCCTACGCTGCCATCTTGAATTGGAATTGGACTTCGCAGTTTGAAACCCAAGCTGGGCTGCATGAGTGACCTTCCCCTTTGTGTCTCTCCCACCCCGTGGCTCCTTCTCCACCCTTGCTGTGGCAAAGAGAGTGAGGCCAAACCTTTCCCAGGGGCAGGACACCCCTGGGCTGCTCTCTGTGTGGGGTTTGCTCAAGGTCAGAGATGGCTTTAAGGAGATTCCGCAGTGATGTGGATTCTGAGTATTTTTCCTGTGGGAACAAAGTGACGGGCCTGGCTGCCTGATCCCTACCCTGAAACTGCAAGTTCATACAGACTTGCCCTCCCACCACAACTCACTCACCTTCACTCTCTTTTAGCGACTATAGCTCTCCCTCCATGCTTCCAATTCTTAGACATTGATTTGGGGGGTGGGGGGGGGAGCTTTCACTCTAAAGTCCCTGAAATTTGCTAACTGCCTCCCGCTGACTAAACCGAATGCCCTTTTATCAGCATTTGCCCAGCTGATAACCTTGCAGCATTTGACTGTTTAAATCTTCTCTTTCCTTGGCCTCTGGGACACTACTTCCTCCTCTTTCTATCGGTGCTTCTTAGGCTTTCCTTTCTGGTTAATTCTCTGGGAGGTGCCAGGTTTCTCCTCTCCCTGTCTTTTAAGCACAAAGGTTTCTTGAGCCCCAGTGCATTTGCACTTGCCTGCTAGAAAAGCCCCAACTGGGTATCACGCATGCACCTTATACCGAGTACGTCCCCAACTCACTCATCATCTGCCGCAGCCCTGTCCCAGCGCAGACCCTCCCCTGCAGAGCTCATGGCATCGCCCTCCTCTCCTGTGCTAAGCTCAGAACCTTGTCTTTGACTCTTCCCCTCCCCTACCTTAAAGTTTTTATGGCATCTTCCAATAAAATCCATTTGATCTTCCCCTCCCAATTCTGTCTCTCTGCCCCTGGCTTCTCCTAGCTCTTCTTCCTCCAGTTATCAAGTTCTCTTTCTCCATAGCATCTAACCCAGTATCCATCTCCCCGCTGACTCCTGTCCCAGCTCCCTGTTAGTGGCAGTCAAGGCTGTGCACGTTCAGCCTTATCTTCTACCCCTACCTGTCACCCTGTCCACCCTGTAGTGAAGCTGCCTCTTTACTAGTGGAAGTTTCCGGAATGCACAGTGACAGCACTGTCATTGCGCCTTTCTCTAATACCGTTGCTTCTGCTGGAAAAAGTCTTCACCTATTCTCTCCTCCTCCCACCCATGAGTCTTTAAATGTGCTTCCAGGCCCGGCTCCAGTTCTGTTTCTTCACATAAGGGGCTCCTCACCTCCCCCGGTTATAACCCCTCCTCTGGGCTTGTTTGATGACCTTACTCCTGTCCGCGATCACGCACGTCTCGTGCTTCCCATGCACTTGGCCAGCTCGCTCACCTTGTGCCTTCGCAGAAATGGAAGGGAGATGACCTACGGAGCAGCCTCAGAAAGAGACAGCAGAACATCAGGGCTCCTACGGGGTCTCGGAAGCCAAAGCACAAGAGAATTTTGAGAAGGAGGCCGTGAGCCCTTTTGTGGGGCAGTGAAGCCAAGAAGGGTAGAAACAAGTCCTGGGGTCTTGGTCATTTTACCAGGGGAACATGTGATCGATTTTTTTTTTTAATTTTTTAATGTTTTTCATTTACTTCTAGGAGAGAGAGAGAGACAGCGTGAGCAGGGGAGGGTCAGAGAGAGAGGGAGTCACACACTGAAACAGGCTCCAGGCTCTGAGCTGGCAGTCAGCACAGAGCCCGAAGCGGGGCTCGAACCCAAGAACAGCGAGATCATGACCAAAGCGAAAGTCGGACGCTAAACAGACTAAGCCACCCAGGAGCCCCCATGTGATCGTTTTTGTGTGTCAGCTTGGTGATGCTGTGGTGCCTGCTTGCCTGGTCAAACACCAAGCCTAGATTTGCTGTGAAGGTGTTTACAGATGTGACTGACCTTTAACTCCGTGTACTTTGAAAAAAGCAGGTCATCCTCCGTAGTGCGGGTGGGCCTCCTCTAACCAGTTGAAGGCCTGAAGAGCAGAGACAGGCTGAAAAAGCAGCAAATCAGCCTCAATATTGCAACACAGAAACTGAGTTTTGCGAGGCCTATTGGCCCGCTTTGCAGATTTCGGACTCAAGTTTACGCAATCGATTCTTCCCTGGGTTTCCAGGCTGCCCCTCAGATTTCACAGTTCAAGGCCCCCGCATGAGCCAAGTGCTTCAAATAAATCTCTTTATATATTATTGGTTCTGTTTCTTGGAGAATTCCAGCCAATACAGGATGCCTCAAAGCCAGTGTACTGAGACATCTCCCAGGAGTTGAAGAAACAAAGCACGGTATGTGTGTGTATGTGTGTGAGAGAGAGAGAGTGAGAGAGAGAGGGAGGAAGGTGGGAGAGTCGGGGTGGTGAGACTATACGGACAAATGTCAATGAGTCCAGAATTTTTTTGTTCTTTAAGAAAACTAGCATCTGTAAGTAAAACAGTACGTTTCCAAGGTGAAAAGACTCAGTTTTGCATGAGGTCAGGACGTGGGTCTGTTGTCTTTGTGGCCGAGGCCAGGGGTGTGAGCGGCGGTGACCCGTGGTAGGGGCGAGTGTAGCTCTGTGACACGGGCCAGCTGTGCGCACAGCTCTGTGACACTGGCTTCTGCAGGACACTCTCATCAGGAAGCTCAGAGGCAGTAAGTCTGATGGGGGTCAGTGTGTTCTCGGGGGCCCCGGCTCGCTCTTGATCTCCCCACTCTGAATCTACCCTTCCTGACGGCCTGCCCGCCCGGTGGCCTTGTATTTTAAGTTCTTTCTCCTGTGGGAACAAAATACAAGTCCGTGCCCCCCCCCCCCCACCGCCCCCGGTGTAAGTGGTGTCTGTGAACCTCGTGTGTTACCGGAAATAGTAGGGTTTGCAGAGGGTGGCAACTGCTTGTTTTCCCCCTAGAAGGTGCCCGCTGGGCATGAGCTCTTAAGAGCAGAGCGCTTGTCTGTTCTCTTCACCATTTTATTCCAAATGCCGGGCACTTAGGAGGCACTCAAATACTTGTTCAAGTAATGGTGACTCCATTGGCTCCTAGGTGTTTAACCTCTGGAATTTTCTTGGACAAAGTCTGCTCATCTATATGGACAATTTCCCATCCATCACAACTAAGCTCAGGCATTGCCTCCTGTAGGAAAGTTTTCTTGGTAAGCTATTTTTTTTTAAGTTTATTTTTAAGAGAGAGAGAGACTGGGGAAGGGCACAGAGGGAAGGGGAGAGAGAATCCCAAACAGGCTCCGTCCTGTCACCGCAGACACGGGGCTTGAACTCATGAACTGTGAGATCGTGACCTGAGCAGAAAGACGTTTAACTGATGAAGCCACCCAGGCGTCCTGTTTTTTAACACTTCCATCACTTTATAACTAAACATTTCTCCATCTGCTTAACCACACAATGAACTCTCAGGGCAGATAGTTCACATGGGGCGTGTCTGCATTTCTAGTGTAACACACAGCACGGGGCGAGGGAGGTTTGACAAATACTGAAGTGAACATTACTATTTCCAGAGTTTGTCAGATCCCAGAGGACTACACCAGCGTTAGAGAAATAAAGGCCAGTTTTACACGGACTGGCCCAGGTAGAGTGCTTACAGCAGAGCAATCTGCAACTTCTGTTTGTTACTAGCAGGTGTGAAGTTCATTTCCCTCTGCATCTATGACAGCAACCCAGGCAAAACTGCGAAACTTTGCCTTCTGTCGTCCAAAGCTCGGGAGTCAGACCCAAATGCCTTCGGGGCTCGGCCAGGTTTACTGACTGAAGGCAAAAGGTAGCTGTGGCTCCAGGCTACAGACGGCAGAGATGGGCGCCAAGAGCTTGGCGTGCTGCTGACCGTGACCTGGCGTCAGACACCTTCGGACAGGGCTCCTGTGAGCTGCCCCGCAGATGACTGCATTTACACACTGCTCGATGCGGGTAGAAGTTAGATTTGCGCGCCCTCTGTTATTCTAGTGTCCCCTCTACACGCTTTAATGTGGGAGAATGACCTGCAAACGATCGCCTTTACTCTTCAGGACTGAAAGTCACGTGTCACTTGGTGAAGGGATATTTCAGGTGACCGTAGCCTTGGAAGGGTGCTTATTTCTTTGCTTTGGAATAAAGAGAACTATCCCTTAGGTACGTGAATGTCACGGACTCTGAAGAAGGCCCGCTGTCATAAAAACACACTGGAATTTTTTTTTATAGACAAACTGAGAAATGTATTTAGGTGAATGCTCACCACCTATAAGCAGCTCTTTTACTTTGAAACAAACTACTAGGTCTTGCCACGGAGACAAAAAGGAAGCTTTTTTACATGTGAATTGGTTCCACCCACTGTTTAAAAATGAAACCTCAGTAGGTTAAAACTCTTTAAAATGTCCTCTCCAGCACACCCCACCCCCACACCAAAATCTCTCATCCCCATTCAGATAGCTAAATTGAAATTTGCCCCTTCTGTGCCATGTCCCATCCCCTACCCCCCATCCCCTTTCCCCCCACCCCTTCCCCATCCCTGTTACTCTCCAGGAATTTAAGCCATTTCATAAGCAGATTTTGAGCACATCATTTGGACCTGTCTTGTTCTCTTTAATGTAAGCGTTCAAAACTCTCCACTGATAACCCACCAATCGGTGATCCTGCCCCACGACCTTAAGTGTGTCTCGTGAGCTTCCCCATGGTCAAACCTCACATCCCACTCCTGAGCGGAAGCAGCCTCCTCTTTGCCTGTCTGGGCACTAACTAGGGGGTAGTCTGAGGCTCCAGGGCACTGTAGGATGTTTCCGCCTCACATCGTCCCCTCAACCAAGCCGGTGTGCCCATAGAGCACATTTAACATAACCATTATATTAAGCCATTAAATTTATAAGAACCATTATAGCCTCTGCTCTTCTAACTGGTCTTAAATTTTTCTTGTAATGACCATTTTCTGAAATCGTTTTACATAGTGTTCATAATACTAATAATGTCACATAAAAGGCCATGCATTTCTTATTGAAATGAAGAACTAAATGTCTAAAACTAATTACTAAATTATCCCTTTATTAAAAAAAAAATTCCTGAGTAAAATCGGTCATTTGGAATACCACGCTGACACACGTTTTATCTTCTTGGAACCAAATAAGAACAATCTCAACATGCTTTGCTTTAGTGTAAAAATCAATTTATTATACAACAATCATACAGAATGCTTTTTATCTGTCTACAAAGAAAAATGGCTTCTCCTGTCTCCCTGTCCACTCCAATCATGATATTATGTTCTTAAGTACTTTCAAAAGAAAACCAAAAAGTGATATCCTTATTTTCCAAGTAAAGAAGACTCTAGAAACATCATAAAATGATACGGAAGTATCAGATTGGTCTCTTACAAAGTGCGGCTCTGCCCATCCCAGTCAGTATCGTTTGCCTCACGAAGAAAAAGAAATACCTCTGACGGGTATAGGGAGGGCCTTGTCTTTCAATAACCCTACTGGATTGTTCAATATATAATTTTGATGGGTTGAAAATGCCTCTTCATTTCCATTTAACATTCCATTTTATTTTAAAAAATTGGAATTTTAAAGATGTGCTTGTATTAAATATTTTCATTCTTAGGAGTAAAAGGAAATTCGGGCACAAAAAGTTTGTTTTTTATTAACAGGTTACAGAGGTTTTTTTTTACCCCCTGGTTTTAGGAAAATCACATTAAATGTAGACATTTTGCTTTTTTGAAAATTCCGACACACTTAAAGACAGGTTAGAATATTTACCTGATTGAGTTTCTGCGGCTAAGATTTCCTAGCTCTGTGCGTTTGTATCAGCCCTTGACTGGTTTAAGGCTAGAAGTGCTTGATCAGGTTCACCAGGATGAAACACCCAACGGGAAACCGCGTCCTGAAACCTCTAGGTTGAGCTTGAAAGTGCAAACTACCCACGTTTCCCCCTTTGAGCTCGGAGGTTTCCAACTGCCTCGTACCTAACTTTAAGCTGTTTGCCTCTGTCATTCTGCTGAAAGCCGACTGCCGGCCCGTGAGGGCACCGAGCATGCAGGTGCCGAGGGGGCGCTGAGACTTCGCGCCTCACGGACATTTGAGAAGCAGCTGCGGACGCCGGGTGACCGGTGAGGTGTGGCTTCTCTCCGGGTCTCGTTTTTACCTGGAATGCACTTTGGTGGCAGATTTTAGCCCTTGTGTGGGACCCAGGCCTGAACTGGCGTCCACGTGCTCCGCGGGGCTGTCCCCTCAGGCCAGCTGGTGTTTCGTCCCAGCCGAGCGACAAGGGAAGTGCCCGGCCTGGCCCCTGGGTCGAAACGAGCTTCCGGGAGAGGACAATACTCGTAACAACACGGTCAGGGGGGGGTGGGAGGAAGTGGGGGTGAAGCACCCTAGAAAAATTAGTTTTAGAAAACTTAGAAAAATAAATCCAAGCGCCAGTGGGTGTCTGTTCAGTAAAAATGGACCAAATGCCCCCCAAGTTACACGCACAAATGTGCACAGCGCGTTTCGCGCGGAGATCGGCTGAGGTCAGTCACCTTCGGCAGAGCAGGCGGGGTCCCGAGGGCAGCGGACGCGAGCGAAGACCAACCGGGAGGGGCCTCTGTCGGTGTCCGTGTGCGGCTGAGCCCGAGTCCGCGCTCTTTTCTAAGCAGGGAAAATGGTTTTCAGACGAGAAAGCAGGGGGGCACCAAGGACAGCAAGGCGCTGCCACAGAGCCTGAGCGGGGGGGGGGGCTGCCTCTCCGGCACCGCCGCGTTTGACCTCAGGCTTATTCTAGAAGGAAGACCGGAAAGAAAAAGTGCCCAAGCTGACAAGTCTTAGTTTCACAGGGTATAAAGCTTCCTCACGTTTTCAAAAAATATTGTTTCCATTCTTGGTGCAATTTAGCAGTGAAAGTCCGATACTAAGGGAGGTAAAAAATATAATGTTTTCCTCCACTTTTGTGCTCGTTCCCAGGAGCACTCGTGCTACCTGGGCAGGGATAGGACATGCTGGGTTTGGCCTAATTGGCACTTGTCACTGTGGCTCGTTGCCGCCCACAGCTCAATGCTGGAATCTGTCCACAGTCCTCTTTTTCTTCCTATTTTCAAAAACTTAGCCTGCAAAGAGTGGCAGCAGGTTATCTGGGGATAATACTCACAAGAGCAGACAAATTCAGTGTCTACTTTGCCCCAACTGCTCTGATTTATAAATATTCCAGCGGCTTATTCTTCTAAGGAGAAAGGAAGATTGCTTGATCAGAAACGGGCAGCCAGATTTAGATCCTGCTTTTAAAACTGAGCATGGTGACCATTTACACCCAAAACTAGGGTATTTGACACAGGGGGTGGCCAGGACTGCATGAATAGTTAAGGGAACCAAATTAAAAGTGAGAAACGGCCCCTGAGCTAGGAGGATTTGGCAGAGTTTTTCTTCTTAGGGGAAAAAAAAAGTCATCGTCACGATAAAATACAAATTTCATTACCGTGTCACTGAGTTGAGACTTAGTGTAGGAATTTGACAGACTCTACCTTAAGAGAAAAAGTTGTGCTAGATTTTCCTGTCTTCCGTTTACAATCCATGTTCATATTTTCTGGGGTCGGGTCCTGATGGAACAAATGGACTGATTCCGCACTGGCAAATACTGCTCAACACAGATTAAGACGTACCCTGTAGTTAGAAAGGTAATTGACATTTTGATTTCAACATTTCAATCTAAATAAGACTTTTTATTTGAAGACTGGCTTCGGAAAACAAGGCTCCAGGAGTCCTGGCCTTGTATGAGTCTAAGGCATAAAGACGGCGGTTCTGGGGAGGGGTCAGTCGGGGGTGGAGGACACAGGAGCCGCACCAGGTCTGAGGTCTACAGAGTTCGGTGTTCGAGGTGGCACGTGTGTTGACGGAAGCATCAGTTAACAGATTAACCTAATAGCAATATATTAATACATTCCGGGTACAAATGATTTATGAACTCAAAAGAAATTAGTTTACGCTAAAACATATATAACTTTCAATTCAGTCTTTGCTTTAAAACAAGCGAATCTGTGAGGCTATTATATATGCTTTGTCTGTGACTCGACGTTTATTGTGCTTTCTTGCTTATCACCCCGTTCGTTGCAGTGAAGCAGGCTTTGGAGAAACCGTTCTTAACTTCTTTCCCTGAAGGTGACTCTTCTGTAGTTTTCTTCACTGGCTTTTTCCGGTACGTCTGCGGGATGTATAGATTTTGAAGGGGGGGAGAAAAAGGATTCTTGAATAAGACTTTGTCTCTGACATGGCATATAACCTAAAACAGTTCATGATTTTATTGGGTATTGGACCGGTAAGAATTCTTTTTTTTTTTTTTTTTTAGTTTATCTATTTTGAGAGAGGGAGTATAAGTAGGGGAGGGGCCTGGAGAATCCCAAGGAAGCCCCACACTGACAGTGTGGACCCCGACGTGGGGCCTGAACTCATGAACTGTGAGATCATGACCTGAGTCGAAATCAAGAGTCGGATGCTTAACCGACCGAACCACCCAGGCCCCCAGCCAAATAAGAATTTCTGTATGACAGGGGCGCCTGGGTGGCTCAGTCGGTTGGGCGTCCAACTTCGGCTCAGGTCATGATCTCATGGTTCGTGGGTTTGAGCCCCGCGTCGGGCTCTGGGCTGACAGCTAGCTCAGAGCCTGGAGCCTGTTTCAGATTCTGTGTCTCCCTCTCTCTCTGCTCCTCCCCTGCTCACACTGTCTCTATCTCTCTCTCTCAAAAATAACTATAAAAAAAAAAATTAACAAAAAAAAAGAATTTCTGTATGACAATTTTTAAGCTAATGGTTAAAAATAGGGGAAAACCCAAGACAGATTTGAATGAATTCCAGTGAAAGGTTGTTTCTTTCACCTAATCTACACTGGTTCGGATTCCTGTATTACTGGATTGGCATTCAAATTATTCTGCATCAGTTGCTTACTTGCATTTCCTAAAAATTAGATCCTTTCCAATTCAAGTTGAAAAAAGTGCTGTTACTTTAAAAGTACCAGGATCCAGGATTCTGGAGTGATTTGGGCTTTGGCATATCCATCCTATTTTGTCTAAATACCTGATTTTGTCTCATTTTTATTTTTACTTATTTAAGCACTGGTATTAACAAGGGTCAAGACTGCAATTACATACTGAACTCTGAAAGAGTAAGATTCAGTGTGAACCAATAAGTAGGGTCAAAGTTTTGAGCGCCCACAGCCCACCCTGCTGACGACACGCTCTTCCTCAAGTTCAACACCAAGTGCCAAGTCTACTCACTCAGCTTTCCTGTAACAGTCAATTTTGCTGTGGGGTGTGTTTTGGGGTGTTTTTTTGTTTTTTTTTGTTTTTTTTTGGTGGCTTTGTTTGGCTCCATCAATGGTTATTTCTTCAGAAATTCTCAAAGGAAACTTCTCTCTCTTATAAAAGACAAAGCCTTAGGCCAGTCCAATTTCAGAAACACAGGGGCTGAAAAGGCTGTCAGCGGTTCAGGGTCTCACAGTTGTACTTTGTAAGAAGCCACCGGGGGTTAACCTTTAGCAAATGCAAACTCAAAAAAGAAGCATTTGTTGTCTAAAGAAAGAAATACTTGATCTCAATTTCGAAAGTACTGTTTTGAATATAAATATGTTCTCATCTTTTTTTCATGAAGCTTACTTTCGATCTCCCCAGCCCACAAAGGAGAGCGATTTAAAATCTACCACCACCTGGGGCCTGCACCCGCTCCGCCTTCTCCCGCCTGCGTCAGTGTTTGAATTAATGGAGTTGCTTTGACGTTGCGTTTTGAAGCTCTGTTCCATTTCAATTGTTGATTGAAAAGAAAATGACGCTCAGTAAAGAAAAAGCCAATGTGACCTTTCCACGGTGGCTTGCCTTAAAAGAATTTTTTCCAGATACTGAGTTTACAACATCACTGTGGTGACAAGAGAAACACATTTTTTAATATGAAATTCATTTAGTCTGTTTTTCTCCATTTATATAGAGTTCCTGGATTCAGATATAAGACTCTTGTTTCATGTATGTGCCCCATGTTACCAGTGTGTGACTTTATTAGACTTCGTGTGCATGCACTGAAAAATGTTTAATGAAATGCCCACTAGGCTGTTCATGGTGGTTTTCCTTCAAGGGGAGGGCAGTTAGGAGTCGCACTGCTGACTCTGGGAGCCTCCATCACCAACAGGCATGTGCCACTGGGTTTCCTTGGCCAAAGTACACACCGACGTGAGGCGAGAGCGCCGTCGGCTACACGTTTCGCCCTTGAAGACCTACAGTTCGCTTACCTGAACGTAAAAATTTAGGAAGAGGATGACTAACGTGAGCATGTAGGAAGACTGGAAGATGAGACAGCCGAAGGGGAAGCCGCAGGGTTTCACCACCGCGCTCAGCGTGTGTGTGATGGTGAGCACGAACTGCACCTGCGGGGGTGGCAGGGAGGTGTCACTGGGGGGTGGCCGGGCCACGCAACACGCCACGTGGAAATATTAAACATTTAGAAATCGACTTCTATCACTCCCTAGGTTTTGCAGGAAGAAAACAAAACCACAGAAGCAGCCCACTATCCTACCCAGAAAGTTTACTTGAAACATACTAGTCAGTATATAAAATCGCCTGTTTGTTTTCTCATGGAGGAGTAGCAGTTGAACTTAATTAGATACAAATGAATCTTAAAATTAAGATTCTGTGTTTTAATCAATTAACTAATGTCTTAAGTGTCTGTGTTAAATCACTGGCACTTCAAAGCAAGGGCTAAGGTAACTGTATACACAAAGGCCATTTCAACACACTAGGTTGAATCCTTAAAAGGTTTTTTTTAGAGAGAAACAGGCAGCCTCCTCGCACACGGCAAAGCCTCTGTGTACGGAGACAGGTTACTCCCCTCCATGAGAACATTCGATGCTTCACAGGGAGAGGAGCTGAACCAGGGGATAACATACCAGTTGAGCCTGCGTGAGGTATCTCTTCCACCAGAGATACTTGTGCATAGAAGGAAATACAGAAAGGCCATAGTAGGAGTACATGAGAATGTGGATAAAACTGTTCAGTGTGGGTCCAAAGAAACCTGTAAAAGTACAGGAGAAAGATTACTGTTCATTCTTCATCCGGTGAGACGGATTCTCCCCGTGCAGCACGACCGAAGGCGAATCACGACGGCGGGACTATCCTCTACCAGAATCCACGCGGGTGAGTTCACCCTCGCTTCTGTGCTCTTACTCCGGGATTCCGCAGAAGTCACCGGGACAGGACGAAACTGGATGCTTTCTATGTCAGGGTGCCAACCAGACAGGTAAGTCCTGATCTGCAAAGGCTTTCCTGTCTCCTAAACTCTCGGTACTACCAAGTAATCAGGAAGAAATCGAAATGCTAGCTTCAAACGGCAGAACTCCTTTGAAAGAGACGCGTCTCTGCTTTCGCTACGCCTCTGATGAGCCATTTTGACTGGAAAGAGGGCTGAACAGGGTGCCGAAGAGTCCAGCATGTTAGGCTGCTCTTTAAACTTAATAAATCCTTCGTGCAAGGGACCTAGAAGCAAGAGAGCGAGGGCAAGGCGAGAAGGCTGGGACAGAAGCGGGACTGGCGGGTGGGGCTGCCGAGAGGCCGGACCGTCCCATGGACCCCAGGACGAGGACTATCTAAAGTCCAATGCAGGACATTTTGCTGTGCTAGCTTGTGCCTGTCACTCCCCTGTGCCAGCCGCCACTTCATGGAGTCCCTGTAGCTGCCACCAGTGTAGGCGGATAGTGTCTCAGGAAACCAAAGGGAAAAGAGCGAAGTTCCATGTTGCTCCACGGAGAAGCAATAGGATTTAGTTGAAGGGGTGAGGTGTCAAGAGACAGATTACTTGTTGGAAACTGGGAACCCACTCTTGTGAGGAGGAGATCAATCAAGATAGGCCGAGTGCTTACAACAGTGCCCGGCAAAGTGAACGCACTTCTGTTATGCTGGGATCCAGAGGGCTGGTCTGTGGGCCCTCGGCCCTGCGGTGGGAGGGGCTGTTGGACTAGAGGAAGCCTATTAGCTACGTCCCCTTAGATACATTAGTTTTCGTTTGTAAATTTTGATTTTGTCACCTGGGAAATGGGCATGACAATGATTAGCTCTCTGGGTGGTGACAGGATTGACTGCATATGCTATATAACCGAAAAGTACTGTGCCTACACTGGTGAATGAATTTCAACTCTCCTGCCTGGTTTTCCGCCTCTAGATCAGTCTGGTTAGATACATGCAAATCAATGAATAAGAAACAGGCGTCTGGGTGGCTTAGTCAGTTAAATGTCCAACTTCAGCTCAGGTCATGATCTCATGGTTCGTGGGCTTGGGCCCGGCGTCACTCTGTGATGAAAGCTCAGAGCCTGGAGCCTGCTTCGGATTTTGGATCTCCCTCTCTCTCTGTCCCTCCCCTGCTTGTGTTTTCTCTCTCAAAAATAAACAAACATTAAAAAAAAACACAAAAAAATAAAAAAACACCAGCATCTAGTAAGTCCTCAGCAAATTCTGGCTGGAATAACTGGTTATAGCAGTATTTCTTTACTCACTTGAATTTTTCATTACCATGCATTAATGGGATATGATTTTTGTAATATTTTAGGTTGACTAAAAATAGTCACAGCATTTTATCTAGAGGAATCCCATGTCTTTTCCACAGGGATTATGTGAGACAGGTTTAGATGCTTAGTGATTTGTGATGAAATTGTCGACAATCACAAAACATACTTAACCTTGATAATTCTTTGATGTTGGTTACGGCCTGTATATTGATGACAGTATGAGTCTATCATAGTTTTAATAATTAAACTCAAGAAACCAGATTTGGTCCAGGAGAGCTATAAAATAAAAACATCTTTCTGACCACTGAATCCCTAGCACTTTCCTTCTTCACACTCTGGTTTTAATTTGCATCTTCATAGTCCCTGATAAAGTCCAAATATCCTCGACATTTTCTTTTATTAAGTTTATTTATTTTGAGAGAGAGGGAGGGAGAGAGAATCCCAAGCAGGCTCCACAATGTCAGTGTAGAGCCCAACGTGGGGCTTGATCCCACAAACCGTGAGATCGTGATTGGACGCTGAACTGACTGAGCCCGCACCCCTCTCCTTGAAATTTAAAACAGTATCTCTACGATCCCCAAATCATTTTGACTTAAGTTTTACCTGTTCTAAGTTTTCAAAGAAGATTCTTAAATTTGGGGATAAAAGACAATCACATAGAAAGTACCGCTGTCTCCAGTGCCGGTCATAAGGGACCCATTAGTGACTGTGAAATCAGTGTGGTGAGAGTTGTCATCAGCTTTTTGAAAAAGCGCAACAGAATTAGTGAAACATCAACAACCCAAAGTGCATCAGAGAGTTAAGGTAAATATTCCCTGAATTTCTGTTCCATACAAGAGACTGGGATATAAGACGTATTGTAGTTCTCAGTTAAAGCAAATATTGAAAGCCACCCAGAGATGCGACCTTAACTTTTCAAAATGGAAAAAAAGTCCAATCTATAGAACAGCCAAGTGATGACTGTGGAAGGTGCTGGATTTATTTCGACAGGAGTCCTTCAGCCTCTGGTGCTGGAGTAAAATCCCTCCAGCTGGGGGACGTGCTTCTGGCCCGCAGACATTTGGTGCAGGGGAAAAGATGTATTTTCAAAATTTAAGGTAACGCTGGGAGTTTGCAGGAATGAAAGACCAGAAGCAAACCGGCCACGGGCAAACCCGCGCTGCCCGTGTGGCCCCCTCTTCTCGGTCCTGATGCACGTGCATCTTCAACACAAGGTACTCACTAGAGGCCTCACTAGATCAGTGGCATGGAACTGAAACATCAACAAAATAACTTACTTTGCCCACAAGGTATCCAGTTCAAAACACACCACCAGATGTTAAACATGGAGGCATGATGGTATACGTGAAGAAAAGTAATCTGACTGGTTTTTTTCCGCAAAACAAAGAAAATGGTGTCCAGGAACTCTATTGATTTGGAGAAGTAGTACCACCACAGCACCTTGGCCACCTGAAAGAACGTTACAACAGGAAAAGGTAAAGGTGAGCATGGAAACGCTCCCCTTGGCTGCCCTCTGACCCCTCGGGAGCCCGTGAGATGCAGCTCTCTCCCAGGCCATCAGAGAAGCACCTTGCTGGCACCTCTGCCTCAGTTTCTCCTTACCCCCAGCTGCCCACCCCACTCCCCCAACACACATCATCTGATCAGGTTCCTCCTCTGCTCCTGTGGAACACAGGCTCCTTCTCTGGCCTGTGCTGGCGGATAGTTCTAGCATGGTCTATGGGCGCGGTCAAGGCCCCCAGCTTCCAGCACTCGCTGCCATCCATGCCTGGGCCTCCTAACACTCTTCTCCTCGCATCCACCCTCCTTTCCTACCGCACGCCTGGCATCCTTTAGAACACCCTTCAATGCCTCCCTTTCCTCTGGAACCCTCCCTAACCCTCTCCTCGCTTTTCTCAGGCCTAGCCAGTGGCGTCTTCATTTGCATTTGGAAATTTCTTTATGCCTCTGCTTTCAGTGACCATGCCGGTGGGAGTGGTGAGGGTTATGCAGCAGAGGGCAAATCTCGCAAGGCAGGGACTGTCTCATCTTTGCTCAGAGCTTAGCACTCAACAGATCACTACTGTCTGTTACAACAGGTTTTCATTTTTCCCTAGTCCCCTGATGTGCACATGTTTCATCTCTTCGCTGTACTAGTGCCCAGGCGTGGTCTGTAAGTGGAAGACTACTTCTTTCGTGCCTCCTCCTCCTGGATTTAAAATGCAGATGCTTCTAGGTGTTGTATGTAGTGTCGAATCACTGCATGGTATGCCTGAGGCTAATATTACACTGTGTGTCAGCCAACTGGAACTTAAATAAAAACTTAAAAAAATCAAGATGCTCTTCCTCATCACTGAAGTGGTAGTTCTGGATTCCTACTTCCTTTCCCTCCTGAGCCCTTTACAAAGTCTTGGCCACAGGGAACTACTTTAACGGCGCTGTGTTTTTAGCACTAACATTTAGACATATGAGGACAGTGTGTGTAAGAGGAACTCGGAAGTTAGAATACCATGCTCTACTGTCTGCCTGCCAAGAAGATAAGAAGGTGTGCTGGCTTCCCTGCTAAGGCTTAAGAGTATAACTGAACTTCGCAGATATTAAGCCAAATACAAATGTAAAATGGCAATAACCTTTGGAGAACTGTATGGTAGCCCAAAGTGTGCTGCTCTGTGATAACACATTAGAAATAAAATGGGTGCAGAGAAAGCTACATATATACTTTTTTGTATCATAGCTTTAAAGATTTTTAAAATGGATTTAAAAATGTGCATCTTACTATTAAAGATTTCCATTAAAAGGTTTCTGCTACCTAATAAGCATGTTTTTAGTTATGGAAATTTTCAAACATCCATAAACGTGAGGACGGGAAGTATGAAGAAGCTGTGCTCCCTATCTCTAAACTTCAGGACTTTCAATAGGATTTCAATCTGTTGGATCAATTCTGTTCCTCAACATTTTTTAGGGGGTATAGAGCATATTATAAGCAAATGCAAGGTATCATTTTATCTATAAAAACTAACGGAGAGGAGGAAGGAAACTTACTTTTAACATAACCACCATGTCATTAGCTAATAAAATTAAGGACTCCTTAATATCTACCAGTAGCTTCAATCCATGTTCAAATGTGTCTTTAAAATGTCTTTTGAAAACCGATTTAAATCCGGATGCAACCAAGGTCCAGCTTGTGCTGATTTGATAACGTTTATTACTCTCTTCTAATCAGTAACAGTCCCCTTTCCCTGCTTCCCCTCTTCCCATGTCTTTTCTTCACAAAACTGGATCGGCTGTTGCCTAGAATTCCTAATATTGTGGATTCCTGGTGTTTAACTTCTCTATGCCCCACATTTTCTGTAATGAGCCATTACATTTAGAGGCTTGATGGACTGGGACTTAGGGGATTTGGCAGGAGCTCGGGGTCCGTGGCCCTGTGTACGTCCTGGTGCATCACGCTCAGAGGGCACATCGTTTCTGGTCGGCCTGCAGACATGCATGGACAGAGTCTAGGTGTTAACAGCTAATCCAGTTACTATGAAGGTTCCATTCAACGTTCACCCAACAGTTGTATCACTCATGGCTGATGGCCAAAGAGAGCCACGATTTCACTAGGAGTTGCAAAAGGGTGATTTTCTAGTTCTCTCATTACTTACGCACTTTTCTATAGAGAAGAGCTCTTTCTCTTCCTCTGTTTGGAAACTCACATGTGAAAAGCAAAGACCAATGTTTGACTCTTTCCCTTTAACTTTTCCCCTAGAATGAGTTGGTGTTCTAGCAATCTTCAGAGGGCAACAATGTGTTTTTCATATCATTTTAGCTCATGGGTTTTTACTAAATTTAGTATGTTTCAACCCACTGCAGTCAGTATTCTTTTTGAATTGTCCCATCTTGCAAACTGCAAGTCCCTTCAAGAGGGCTCGTAGGTCTTTTTGTCATGACCTGAGTAGTTTGGACACGTTACGTGCTTTCTGTCACAAGATATCCTCAATTCTGCTTATACACATTCCCCACACCAACCCGGGAATTGGCCAATTTTCTAAGAACCCTAATCCCTTCTGGTGGAAAATTATATTTAGAAGGCACAATCTGGGTATTCACTGCTCATTGCACTGGGCTGTCAGCGACTAACTAGGCCTTTTCTGTAGATAGAGCTAAATAACACATTTGTTTTTAGAAAGAATAAAGTCAATTCTGATATTTCCAATTTGAATCTATGATCAGTGTTCATTTAACTTTTTAATTGGTATCTCCTTTTTACATCTCAAATACGAGTTGTAATGATATTAACACTATTTTATACTATACTTCATCCTACGGTGTAACTTCAACAGTCTCAAAAAAGCAACACCAGTATTTTTATTAATAGCAACCAAAAAAATTACTGAATAACGGTTAATATATATCCCCAGAGGGATGTTCAGTCAAAACACCGTGTTTTAAAGTCACTTAAAATAATTCTCTGGGTGGTTAGGTCACCAATTTAGTACATGGGTATATTCATTTCTTTGAGTTTCCAAGGTTTGGGAGGAAGGCTAACATTGCTTTCTTTCTAAACTTGATTTTGTTTGGGGCGCCTGAGTGGCTTAGTCGGTTAAGCGTCCGACTTTCGCTTAGGTCATGATCTCACGGTTCGTGGGTTCGAGCCCCGCGTCGGGCTCTGTGCTGACTGCCAGCTCAGAGCCTGGAGCCTGTTTCAGACTGTGACTCCCTCTCTCTCTGACCCTCCCCTGCTCACGCTGTCTCTCTCTCTCTCTCTCTCCTAGAAATAAAACATTAAAAAAAAAAAAAACCCTTGATTTTGTTTCATATAATGTAAAACACTTAATGTTTCCAAAATCAAGTATGACACAAGGTGCATTCAATTCAGAGACTTCTAACTTCCATCCCTATCGCCTCTGCCTAGTTCCTTCGCCCAAAAGGAAACACTTTGTTAGGTTTTGGTTTATTCTCCCTTGGTGTCTTTTTAAAAACATTAGCGCGTGCACACACACACATATTCATATCACTTCTTACACAAAAGGTACTATATTATAAACACGGTCTACAAGTTGTTTTGGTTTTTGCTTTTTTAATGGAGATAACGTCCCAGAGATTACTCTGTAACAGCACAGAGATCCTCGTCGTTCCGTTTTGCAAAAGGGACCGTTCCCGGACGGACGTGCCATGGTCCTTGCCATCAGCACCCCACAGCTGGACGTGTGAAAAACATTTTTGTTACCAAGTATCTATCAGAAGAGGCCTCCCTTTCTAATGTAATCCCAGGCCTACGCTCCCATCTGAAAGGAGAAGGCCTCCCCCGCCTTTTCTAAGAGAGATGGTTATAGACGGTCGATTAGCTTCTCAGGACTCACCCGGACATCAGCTTCCCCTGCACTGGTGAGATTCTGACACTGTAAATTGTAGCCTCCTTCCCAACTGGAGAGAACAAGCTACCAAAGAAACAAAGGGGGAAAAATTAATACTAACATTTGGAAGAGAACCAGGTTTTCTATTCATGTTTTTGACTGGCATCTGTCTGTTCAAGGTCTGAGTAGAAACTTCCCAGCATTTGACTTTCTCAACCCTGTCCTCAAACACGTTATCAGCGGAAATAATTCTTGCTGTTGAAGAGATACCAACAGTTGTATTCTTCAATTGGTATAATTTACTTCTGAACTTTACGTTGGCCCAAAATAAGAGTCATCATTTGAGTAACAGAATCTTTTATGTAAGGAATATCTAGCCCTATGTTTCCACAGGTCAAAGGCAGAATTAAATGTAAACAAGTGTGAAAACTACACTAAAATGTTAATACCTTAGATTGGTTTATATTTATCTTAGTTGATCATTCCATAATTGTGTGCATAGTTATTATTACCATTTTACAGATGTGAAAACCAGGGCTCAAAAGTTCTTAAATCATTTTCTTCACTGTATTTGTGCTACTTGGTAATCAATCATTTGTGTGATTATAAATGATTAATATTTATATCCTTCATTGTGTTCCAAAACCAAAAGTACCCATAAAGATCTGTGTGTTATTTGTTCATCTTTGAATCCACCATTCCTTGCCCAATGCCCAGCACATAGAAAGCATGTAATAAATTATGGAAAATAAGCTTTTCCTACTTTGTGGAAAATTCTACCAAAGACGTTCTCTCTCTCTTCCTTCCGGATATTATTGCAAAAGCTTAAAATTCTAAAATACAAAGCATGTACATATGGTATTTTTCCCCTCATCACATTTTATTTATGGGAAAAAGTTTAACTTTTCCAACTTCAGGAATAGGAGGTAGTCATGTACAATTGCTGACTGGAAAATCTCTCTAGATATGAAAAGAAACCTATATATCTGACAAGTTTGCCAAGGACTTTTGCATATTTGATATATGTGTATCTTATTAAATGATCACCATGATGAGTTTAGTTAATGCGTTAGGGAAAGTATGCAAAGGCCTAGTACTTGTAGCTGCTCAGCAGAGACGGGTAAAGGTACGCTCTGTAGAGAAAGGCATATACAGAGCAGGGAGCAGTGAGATGTTAAAACTGAATACCGAAAACAGTTGAACAACTAAAAAGCACTTCTAGGTTATTTAAAACTACCTGATGATTTTAAAATCTAAACAGAATTAAGCAGCTGCGCTATGAGAGGCTCTCTCTGCTTTGCTCGGATTTGTAGCTCATCCCCCCGCGGGCTTGGCCGGCAGGAGCCCCCCCCTCCTGGGTGCTGAAGGAAGGAAATCAGGCTGTCGAGCCTTAGGAGGTGTAGGCTAACTCGCTCCAAAATAGGTCTAGAATCCCTCCGCTTCTCCCGGTTTCGCCAGCACCTCAGTCCGGGCCACCAGCTCCTGTGACGGCAGCGCTCCAACGGTCTCCTGGACTCTCGTCCCCTCTTCCCCCAACTCACTGTCCTAGTCTGGTCTCCACGTGGCGGACGCAAGGACCCATCCGAGAAGGAAGATGGATCGCTCCCCTCATTAAAATCCCGCAGAGGCCCACCATTAGACTCCGAACAAAAGCCAAACTCTTCACGAGGCCCTCTCTGTCATCTGTCACCTCTCCGCCTCGTCGTGAATCACCCCCTCCGCTGGCCGCGGTGTTCCGGCTGCCCTGCTTTATGGTCTTGGAACATTCCAGGCTTGTTCCTGCCTCAAGGCCTTTACGTTTGCTGCTGGTTCTGCATGAACACAGCTTCTTCAGATCTTTATCTGCTTGATTTCTGCTCACATGTCACAGCCTCGGCGAGGCCTTCCTGCCCCACCGCCAGCCCACCACTGGCCAGCGCTGCACAGGGGAAGGGCCGAGTTGTAGAACCTAGAATAGGATCTGACGCACTGCAGAAACTCCACGCATACTCATTGAAAGAATCTAAATTTTGGCAGTACCTTCCTGGCCCCAGCAAACATGTGAACTGCGCTTAACAGGTTAGCAAGGTTCCATCAACCAATCATCAACTGGTGGCTGTTACACGTACTCCCAAAGTGTCTAGGACCTTATGCCTGCCCTGGAAGAAGCTATGACCAGAGGAGACGAGGAGCCAATCAACAGTAGTGGCTTTGAACCAAGAGCTACAGGAGTGTGAGAAGAGCAACAGTGGATAAACCAAGGATAAGAATTGTAGTAGGGAAGGGGCTAAGTACCGGCGGTCTCCCTAAAAAGGGACAGAAGCCATTTATTTGTCCAAACGCTACTGTTCTTATTCCTGTTAATGGTGAATAATATTCACTTTAATATTTACACAGCATTTTCCTATTTATAAACTCCTGTGTACTAGTCTGTGAGCCTTTCAAGTACAAAAATCACATGTTACCCATCTTAATCTTAATATCTCCTTGGCTGAGTATACATTTCACAGCACCTAGTGGGTGCTCACAGAATGCTGACTGAACAGAACTGACTGATCCTTCTAGCAGATTCAGGAGTTAAGTAGAACAAGTACCATATCTCCATTTTATTTTTTTTATGTTTATTTTGACAGCATGCACACAAACAGGAGAGGGGTAGAGACAGAGGGAGACACAGAATCAGAAGCTGGCTCGAGGCTTTGAGCTGTCAGCACAGAGCCAATTGTGGGGCTGGAACCCACGAGTGGTGAGATCATGACCTGAGCCGAAGTCGGACACTTAACTGACTGAGCCACCCAGGCGCCTCCATATCTCCATTTTAAAGACAAGTCATGTAAGGGTCGGAGAGCCTAACTAATTGCACCAGACTTAGAGAGAAAGTGACCCCTGCATTCACATCTTCTGAGTCCACCACACCGACGTATCCAGCAAGTTAATTAGGGCTTCCAGTGTGGTCAGACATTCGGGCTGCCCTTCTGACAGCAGGTGCTGCTTCTGAAAACAATCCAAGGAAGAATACCCTTCCTTTGTTTCTTCCCCAAGAAAGTAACCCTGTCAATTACTATCTTGCAAGCTCATCTAGTGAACTAAGATTTACCTAGTTGAAAACCTACATAAAAACCCCCCTTTCAGAGTCAGGTAACTTGGGATCACGGATACGACAGTGGTGGAGGAGGGGCTTTCCTGACCCTGAGTTCCATCTGCACTCCAGTCACGGAACTGTGGGCGTCGGAGCTGTCACGTAAAGTAACGGTTTTTAAGCGTTCTCAGAATGGTGCGCAGCAGCGAAACGCACAGACTGGAACTCTGTGGGTGAGAGGATCTATATTTTACACGCGGATTTATCCTCTTTTAGAATTCGAGGACCGGGAAGGCCACTAGACTTGTGCCACTGTCAGTCATCTGTCACTGACAGGAGTGATTTTAGCCCGTTCCCTTAGAAAGGTTCTGTCCTGTTTTTGTTTTCCCTCCTCCTGAGGCTGCTCGCTGGAGCAGGTTTATTTGGCACTCGGAGACCTTCCTTTGTGGCAGGCAGAGTGAACAGGCTTCGGCTGTACAGACAGCGCAATTGTTACTTGTTCTCGTAAAACGACTTGGGTTTGGCCCGTTACAAAGGAAGGGGCGATGCATGACGTAACGAGGGCAGCAGGAGCGGGGCTCCACGGTCTGTCCTGAGAGGCCACGGTGCCCCTGTCACCAGGGCCAAAGACGGAGGGAGTGGTCGTAACTGCATTTGATTTTTTACTTAAAAACTACTCTGTAACTCAAGAGCTGTCTATTCTCAGGCAAATGATGTAACTTTTCCAAGCCTCAGTATCATAATCTATAAAAGGAGAAAAATAGCACATATGAGCCTTCGAGGCGCATTCAGATCTAAATTGTGACTCTGAATTACAGTTAAAGACTGAAGATTGAAGAAATAGGCCTAGGGCGCCTGGGTAGCTCAGTTGGTTAAGCGTCCAACTTCGGCTCAGGTCATGATCTCACGGTTCATGGGTTCGAGCCCTGCATCGGGCTCTGTGCTGACAGCTCAGAGCCTGGAGCCTGCTTCAGATCCTGTGTCTCCCTCTCTCTCTCTGCCCCTACCCCATTCACGTTCTGTCTTTCTCTCTCAAAAAATAAATGAGCATTAAAAAAAAAAAAGTAGGCCTAAACTAGGAAGAGAAAAATTCAACTTAGAAATAAAGATTTCCCCAAGACTTTCAGAGGAAATAGTATCAAACGCTGGAACCATTCCTGAGACTTTGAGGAATGGTACTGACAGCAGTGCTGGAGAGTTCTGGAAGGCCAGGTTCACTTCACAGAGTCACTCACTCACCGGACTCCAGCGTTCCAACAGACACTTACCTCTGCCAGCATATACACGGAGAGAAGTGTGATTCCGAGGTTATACAGGGTGAGGATACCCCTGAGGGAGAGAGCATGTCTGTTCTTCATGTATCTGTTACCCAGCCATATGGAAAGCAGATACAGGACAGTGAGAAAAAAGGTAGGAAGGTAAGAGTCCAACATGAACCATCCTCTGACTCGAGAATCTGAAAAGAAACATATTCAGTGAGAATCCTAAAGAGTAGCACACTTCCGTTTAGTTTCAAAATATTATCACATACATTTAAAAAGTTTTTTGGGTTTTTCTTCATCTTTTGTTATGTTCTATGTTGCTGAGGGAGAACAGAAATATCAGGGGTACTACAGTTCCAGAATTTCACACACTACAAGATGCTCACCACAATTAAGTCTAGTTAACATCCAGCACCTTACACAGTTACAAAAATTTTTTTTCTTGTGATGACAACCTTTAAAAAATTTTTTTACATTTATTTCTTTTGAGACATAGAGAGAGACAGAGCACAAGCGGGGGGGAGGCAGAGAGAGAGGGAGACAGAATCTGAAGCAGGCTCAAGGCTCTGAGCTGTCAGCACAGAGCCCAACGTGGGGCTTGAACTCACGGACCACGAGATCATGACCTGAGCCGAAGTTGGACGCTTAACCAACTGAGACACCCAGGCAAATAATGATGAGAACTTTTAAGACCTCTTGTCACATATATTGTATGTGTACACACCAAATACAACAAGCAACAATACGACACCACCCTGAGGAGGAAGCTGGGGTCACAGTTTGGAAGAAGAAACCCGTGGGGCAGAAGTAGTTATGGAAGGTCTCATGGAGCAACAGCTGAGGCTCAACGCTGAGTGGCAGGAACAGGTGATCAAGGAGGGAGGTAGGAGTTCTAGCATCTTCTCTGGAATAGTTACTGTGTTTATTTATTCTAACTCCATAATCAGGAAGTGCTGTCACGCCATTAGGAGGATGAGAAACAGCTCGGAAAGTGACAGGAAGCTGCCGCGGCCACCCAGCAGTGGGCAGCAGCACCAGGGTCTGAATTCCCGGGAAGCGACGGCAGAGCCCTGGAGCGGATGATTCAGAGCTGCGGGCAGAGGCTATGACCGAAGACCGAAACCTGACCATGGACTAGAAGTATCAACAGCCACGAGGCAAGAACCAAGACACACCAGGTGTTCCTTGCTCTGGAGAGGGAAGAGGTAAAATCCTGAACGAAACACACATAATAGATCTACAGCATAGTCAGTTACCGTCTGAAAGGCACCGTAGGCACAAGTGATTTTAGTTCTCTACGCCGCTTTTTGTTGTCTCAATAAAGCACGTAACTTGGCCCGCGATGATGAACACTGGCTTGCTGTTTGTAATCTCTGTGAATGCAGGCAGGACGAGCGGATCCCTCCAGCAGATCAAGCCCTTTTCTTCTTCCCTCTGCCCTTCCCGGGTCCCCGCCCCTCCTCCTGTCCCACTGTAGCCCTCGCTCGCCAGCCCCCCTTACTCCACCCTGCCTGACGGACAGCGCGCAGGAAAGTGCCTGCTCAGGCTCTGTCCCAGCACGTGTTCCGTAAGCTCCTCCAGTTGTGACAGAGGTGACAAGGCCAGGGAGGAGCTGGTCTCAGCACTCACGTGACTACCAGACACTACCTTTCACACAACTTGTGGGTGATCACGGGTCGCCAAAGCCTGTGCCACGTGCCACTTGTAACGCTCACCCCTGTATCCAAATCCGATGCACCCGGGGGGTGCCTGTGTGCCTCAGGAGGTTGAATAGACTCTTGATTTTGGCTCAGGTGATGATCCCGGGGTCCTGGGATCGAGCCCTGTGTCCGGCTCAGTGCTGAGCCTGCTGAAGATTCTCTCTCTCCCTCTCCCCCACTCATACTCTTTCTAAAATTAAGAATAATAATAATAATAAAATACAATACATCCTATGCATCCTCTAAAAATCCAGATAAATGTCCTGTCTTTGGAAGGGAGCCATTTCTATTCCGTTTTCTTACTACAGCTCTCCACCTGCATAACAATGTAATTATAATTTTATAATTAGTGTGGAACACTGTTATCATAATTTACTTTTACTGAACACATACTGTGTGCCAGGCACTGTCCTAATAAAGCTTTTTACGCGTATTAACTTACTTCATTCTCAAAGCAATCTGATTATGTAGGTATTTCTAATAGTTTTGTTGAGGCATAACTATTAACCTGCATGTATTTAACGTGTATAATTTGGGGTGTCTGGACTTACTCCAACACCCACGACGCCATCACCACAGTCCAGGTAACAGACGCATCCACCACGGATGACGTTATAATCACCAGTTTATGTTTGAGAAACACGGAGCCACAGAGGGTTACAAGGTTAAATATCTGCACTACACCGCTACCCCTCCTCCTGGTACGGTGTTATGCACTGAGCCGTGTCCCCCAAAAGACATGGTTAAGTCCTAACTCCTGACACCTGTGTGACTGTGACCTTACTTGGATATAAGATCTTCACAGGTCTGACCAAGTTAGGAAGATGTTGTTCTGGACTCGGTGGGCCCTTGCTCAGTGACTGGTGTCCTTTATGACAAGGGGAGATGTGGACACAGGGACGCGGAGAGCAGAAGCCATGTGAAGACGGAGGCAGAGAGTGGGAGATACGTCTCCGAGCCAAGCAATGCCAGGGGTGACCGGCAACAGCAGAAGCTGGGAGAAAGGCAGGGAGCACTCTCCCCTAGAACCTCAGAGGGAGCACCGCCCTGTCAGCACCTTGATGTCAGACCTGTAGCCTCCGGACTGTGAGAGGATCAATCTTGCTGTTTTAAGCCACGTGGTTTGTGGCGCGTCGTCACTAGGGCCCTGGGAAGCCAATACGCCTGGTCTGCTCCATTGCTCTGCAGTTCCTGCCCACGTGGTGGTCTGACCTCCACGTACAGCACACCCTCTGTGGGGCACACCCTGGGGCTCAGCTCCTACTGTTGCACATGAGTTTCGCCTCAGTCTTTCCATCTTGGCCCAGAGTTTACCTGCTGGGCCTGCACTCGGAGGGTTAGGGACTCTCCTCACTCAGGTGCAAGGAAAAAACAAACAAGAAGACAAGCGTTAATGTTTCCCTGTTAATGGTTATTTATGACACAGTTTGCATACTTTGTCCTTGAGATAATGGCTATTCCCTTAAACTCCCCAAAACCCTAAGCCGTGCCTTCAAAATAACGAATGTTTTCCTACATACAAGGGTAAGGGCCTCTTTCTTTATCACTTTGTAGTCTTTTTACAATAACCACTCGATTCTGCTTCTGTACTGCCCACTTGCCTGCTGGCTCATTATAGAGAGCCCTGAGTCCTTGGACTTGGGGCCACATATTTAGAGTTCTGTGTGAACTCTGTGCGGTCCCGGCTGGTAGTAAAGACTCCCTTAATTCGGCCTCAGTGGTCTCGGGTGGTCTCTGTGTCTCTCCACATAATATTTGGAGGCCCCAGCGAGATTTTGGGGACCCCAGACCTCCAAATTCCTGTCTCTTTTCGGGGTAAAAGAGGAGATGCCTGCACCCTCTCCAGCTCCTTAAGATGTCCCAGGACCCAGGGAAACACTCTGGTCTTTCCTGCCACCCCAAAAATGGCCCCAGTTAACCTGTGGGACTCCAATGTCTGAACCTCTAGAGGTGAGTCCATTTATCATCTGAATTCTGAATGCGCATGTGCTTCCCGCCCCGGGTAGCACCGAGACATCGGATGGGCCCTTCAGTAAACCTGTAAACCTGTTTTCTGGCCACTTCTGTACCTGTTTTGTCCTGTTGTCACTGTCATTATTTTTTGTCTCATCTGTAGGAATTCTGGTATGGAGCCCTATCCGGCCCACCCATGGTGGTGGAAGGGGGACCTGATCACTCCCCGGAGAAGTCAGAGGTCTCTGTTAGGGGCTGCCATCTGTCCGACCCACCCATGGCGGTGGAAGGGGGACCTGCTCACTCCCCGGAGACTTCAGAGGTCTCTGTTAAGGGCCCCCATCTGTCTGGCCCACCCATAGTGGTGGAAGGGGGAACCTCATCACTCCCTGGAGACTTCAGAGGTCTCATCCATAGAAATTCTGTGGGAGGGAATGTAATAACCTCTCGTGTGTATGTGAGAGTGCATGTGCGACTTGATCTGGCTTGCCTGCCGAGTTTGATTCTGTGGCCCCACGGGTGGGCACTGTTAAAGTCCCCAAAGCCTGTGGAGTCTGAGTGGGCCCATCTGTGATTCCATGGTGAATGGCATACAGTCTTTGGCGGCATCTGAACGGTTTCTGATCGTAAGTCATAAAGCTGAGACCGCTACGGCTAAGCGTCACCTAAGTTCCTTCAGCACGCAGCCAGACAGACCTCTGACTGGTCTCCTCATTAGAGGGGGCACCCCTATCCCTTTGTCTGTCATTGAGACACCGCCTCACAGCAACATTATGGGATTGGACTGTGCAAAGTAAGGGTTTTTAAGAGACTACAGAATTATGTGAACTAGAATGGCCCACTTTCGGTGTAGGACGGCCTTCAGAGTGAACCTTAGGTGTCCCAACCATCCGCCGTGTCTGGCATGTTGTAGCCAGTCTCCCAGATTACCCTGACCAGTTCCTATATCAACTCCTGGTTAGAGATCGCCCAAACCCTTCTCCCTTGGGTGCGATTTACCTGCAACAAACAAGGACACTGGAAGAATGAGCGCCTGACTGGAAAAGGCCCACCAAACCCAGCCAATATCAGGACCCTGAGAAGGGGACCTTATTGGTCTGGCTGAGATAAAATCAGACTGAAGGGGACACTAACTCTCTCTGTTCCTCTGCCTAGTGGATGAGAGGGCTTCTCCCTCATTCATTTCCCAGGTTAACGACTATAATTGGAGCCAATTGTGGTTAGTCTATCTCGGGACAGGGACTTTAAGGAATATTCCCAAGCAGTTGCCGAAACTCCTTTTGTTTCGGGGAAACTCCCTGTCTTCTCTGGACTGACATGGACTGTCTAATTGTACTGGCCAAAACAAAAGAAACCTGAAGCCTGCACCTCTGTCTGAACTGACAAAATTTAAAACTGGGAATTATTGTCCTCTGCCTTCTGCTGGCACCTCTTCTCTTTTGCCCTTCCTTGGGGGCAGGGGAGGGGGTGGCCTTAGGCACCATCAGCTCCTCCTCCCCCCCTAGATGTTGAGGAGTGAAGACCAAGGAAGTCAGATTTCCCCATCAACTTTCCAGGTCAAAATTAACCATGGGGAACAAAGTGTCTTACGTGGACTCAAGTAAAACGTATTCAGTATTTAAGTTAAGTTTGTTGCTTTGAGATGAAGAATGTTTATCAACATTAAAAACAAAAACAGAAACAAACTTGTATTTTACCTAGATTTGCTGAAGGTCAAATAAGCTCCTGTTATCTCTGTTCCAATCTGTTAACAAAAGGATGATGCAAAAAACCAAGGATATTTGGAACTGCTGAAAAAAACATGTTTTGTGCTTAATGGATTCATACATTTGCCATCTAAAAAATTCTGGTGCAAACACCTCTCAGTTGGTTACTAAGTCCTCAACTGGAGACTAAGGTTTCCTAGAGTTAAAATCGACTAAATGTACTTAAGACTGTTGGAAATAAGGAAAGCAACCCAGTATGTAGGAAAATGGGAGATATGTTAGAAGGATATAAGGAATGAAAATACATTTTTGTTGAGGGTAAAAGAGTAATTTTGTCCTAAATGAGACTGGTTGTTTGGAGAGAAATGGCTTTGGGACAAAGTTTAAAACAAAGAAAAGTTGTAAAAGGTTCTTTAAGGGGCGCCTGTGTGGCCCAGTCGGTTAAGCGCCCAACTTCGGCTCAGGTCATGATCTCGTGGTTTGTGGGTGCGAAACCCCCGTCAGGCTCTGTGCAGTCAGCTCGGAGCCTGGAGCCTGCTTCAGATTCTGTATCTCCCTCTCTCTCTGCTCCTCCCCTGCTTATGCTGTGTGTGTGTCTCTCTGTCAGAAATAAAGACATTAAAAATAATTTTTAAAAAGGTTCTTTAAAAAGGAATTTTATATGTGCTCAGGATAGACTAAGGTTCAGATAAATAAAATTTTTAAAGTACACTGTTGTAAGGCTGAAACTCTGCTTCTCTCTCTGTTCAAAAGACAAAGTTTTCTTGGATTGTTGACCTGCTCTTGGTAAGACAATGTAAAGATTTTCTCTTGTCTGCCAAGAAAACCAAAGCTTTAGGTTTCATCTTTATCAGGTCTTTGACTGCTTAGTTAAAACTTCTCAATGTTAAAGGAGCTAGGTTTTGCTAACAACAATATAATGCTATACATTCACCTTTAGGATCTTTTATTGCCATTCTGGCTAA